TCAAAAAACTAAGCAGCTATACACAAATTACTTAACCAAAAGGTGCCTCGCAACCTTGATTATGATGTAAACTATTTAAGCCATGAAATAAAAGTATCTATTAAAATGAATTAACATTTTCAATTATTGGCTAAGACCTCATGTGTACACTCCCTGGAATCTTTATTTTAAAAAATGTCTATTAATCTTGAGAAGTAGTTACTTTCTTAAAATTATTGCCAACTAATCTCAGCAACGAAACGCGTCGACCATTAGATAAAACCTTGCCTTCATCGTATTATGTTTCGTTCTCCCAGTCCCATGCCACTAACTCTGAATCAAATATATCGAAAGCAGATTAATCATCGCATCGTAAAATCAGTGAAAATTTCTACGTTTCAAAAACTGGACTCAGACAAGTAGCTGAGAATCCAAGAAACATGACTTTCAAATGGAACGGAAATATCCCATCTGGATCTGAAGGAACTCGCATATCCACGGTTTATGAACCATATTTCTCTAAGACACCAAGCAGTCCAGCCTCGATGTTCTCAGAGACAGCTGTTAAAGAAATTTGAAATGTTGATAATTTAAAATAAGTTGATAAAGTAATCCGTTTGTGCGTTGGTGGTGATACTGAAAAAATAACGTAAAACACGGCTTACTTACACACAACGCAAAATATACTGTGGTCAGTCTGGTACTGACCAATGCCGCCGTTTCGGCGTGTGTCTCACCGGCCTTCTTCAAGATAGGCTTGTGCTAAAATTTCGTGAATGTGGTTGGTTGTACACGACAGTCCACGGTTTCAGAGTCAGAAGGCCTTCTAAGCAATCGCATTCACGAAATTTTACCACAAGCCTACCTTGAAGAAAAAACATTTACTGGGAGGGGGCTGCAAAGTGAATGATTTTGGATTAGTGCTACAATTTCGAAATGGTAGGCTACCGTTTTCAGCGCAAGGAATCCTAGTAATGATTTGCAGGTAATTTCAAACAGACAGCGTTCTGTAGCTAGTTATCTCTTCTATAGCTGATCAGCAGTGAAGTTTGTCCGAAGATGTCGGAGAAAAGCGTATTTGACAGGTCCGAAGACAGCATAGAAAAGGTATAATTTTGTAGGCCATTGATTGTGCAAAATACCTTACTTGTGGTCTGCCAGAAATCTATCATGAAATCGCACTGAACAGTTGTGAGGCGTTTTCCCCTTTGCTGTCTTATTTATATTGAACACATCTCATATGGCAGTGAGCAAGTTATCAGAAGAAGCTAGTGCCTTGCGAAGTGGCAGTGATTAACGAAATAGTTCTAAAACACTGATTTAGCTTTACATGACGATGCTTGAATCAGTGATTTGTACGGTTCCCTTTAACATCTGCTGTGTGAGCAGCTGTATAAAGACATGGTCAACGTGATGGAGGATGATCCCGGCGTATGAAGTGCTTCCTGGGCATTATGCGAATTCAAAAGCGAAATTCTTAGTCACTATCATCTTCATCCTCGGTAAAGTCATGTTTGAGATTTTTTTAACGCCATTTATTGTCCCGAAAACCGTGATCGAATGTTTTCTCCTGCTGATGACAATAATGCATAATCGGGGAACGGCGTGCGATGGCCTGAAGAACATGTCGCTTAATTTATCCAGCGAATGGCAAAAAGTTCAAGAAAGACCAGCATTAAAGTGAAGATTAGATATAATGTTTAAAGTATTCCAAGGAGTCACTTTCTGCATGTTGACCATTCTTAATTTGCCGCAAGCCCTCAGGCTTACCGCGCTACAAACGACGATGACATGCAACAGTACTTTAAACATTTTTGTTGTCAGTAATATACTGCAAGTTAAATATTTATGCTCTTAACTTTTAATCCATACCAGAAACATTGACGAAGACGTTGACGGAAACTTGACGGATAATGTAGCATTTTTACGAAGAATAAAAATTAGTCAGACACATTCGAAATTTAATATATGTGCTCTTTCTGATCTGATACGCCACACAATTCTTGATGCTTTACTTGGGAGAATGCCCATTTTATCCATATAGAATATTTTTATAAGACAGAGTACCGAGTATATAGGTAGAGTATTCACAAGAGTAACAGCGAAATATTCGTATTTGACTATAGGATTAGTTCGCCAATATTCATTATTCATCTTATCTAGTTGGAAAAGTAGCTAAGATTCAAGATTACCGTATTATGTATGGAAATTTTTTGACAAAACCACAAGGAAGACCGCCCTGGAACAGGTCATGGATTGAAGAGCGCGATTATATATATTATATGGTTTGATATTGTAACCCCATGGAATGAATGTCAATGAGTTTTTCTTACTATTATGGGGGCTCCTGAAGCAGCTTCCTCCACAACATGAAAGTAATAAGGATCGTTGAAAATGATTGATGGATTTTAATATGCTGATATTTTATAGCGGGATGGGTGTTAGGGTGGCAGGAACTGCATATTCTCGGCTTTATCTGGTTAAGGTAAGTTTCGGTTAAAGCACCAAAATTTCGGCATAAATTTCGATGACACGTACGCTGTGGGCAACAGTTCTCTGTCACATGGGTCAGTTAACGCTGCAAGTTCTTCATCGTTTGATTTACTTCTGAAATCATTGAACAAATAACTTATTCCAATCAGCTGACACAGCAAGAACAGTCCAGTAAGCTGTGAGTATGCAGGCCAGAGGTTAAAGTCTGGTCTTTGTTTTACATGCTATTAGCATGATGGACGCCTGTTTACGTTGAAAAACAATATTATCGTCATGATAGAGACAAGGCCTTCGATTAAAACAAGATTTTCTTCAGTTCAGATGGAAAGAGTGAAGCACCGTATTAAATCTCAACAGTGCATGAGGATATCTTTTTGTCGTGTTGATTTTCCTCTAGACGGATAACGATGATTTATCTACGTGAAGAACGGAATATTGGAACAATTCATAATGAAGAATATCAGAAAATAGAAAGGAAATTATACGTTTATACTACGATACTGAGGTATTAAGTATTGTTGGTTCACAGACAATCTTAACTCTGTATATGACAATATTAATGCTTGTACCATAATCACGAATCATGTAATGGTATCACATACCTGTTTACATTTCGAATGGTACCCTTAAATAAAGTTGTCAATAGTTTTGCTTCACGTCGTCATCCCTTTGAACTTACGATGACATTAGTGATATGAAGTCAAACATCGAATCAGTAGTCATTTATTTATTCGTCTGCTCGTCATAGGACGTTCTGTGGAATACTTGAACACATCGTTTCCATTATGGGAGATGTGTATATAGGAGCTAGTTTTACTGTTAAACTTGAAAGAAAAGTAAGGAAAGTTCGTAACCATTGGAATGTTGGTTTTACCTACACTTAAATTATGGGGGCAGTTTTAACACGCTTGTTTTCACGAAGTTGGTTTTAATTCTGCCGGTCTCATCAACAAATTTCATCAGCAAGGAATGCTTTAGTTTTTTAAAGACAGAATCGACAGCAGCTATGCTACTGAATCATAGCCTGTATTCTCCTGTTCCTTTGTCACTCATTTTTCAGAATGGAACTCATTTATTGACCTTGGAGTGAAAAAGGACGAGTGACCACGACCGAGGTTCGAAACCATTACCTCTCGATTCTGAGTCCGACGTTCTACCGATCGACTAACTCCAGTCTGAAGCAACGTGTAGTAAATTCCATGCTCAGTGTAATTTGTGGTAAAGATAAAGATTGCTGTCCACGAGAATTGAACTTGGCATCTCTTAGGCGCTGTGACACCACGCCACCAGTGTCGAAAAAATCTTTTTGAGTAGTTCCTTATTACCTGTATAGTTTACAAGGAGACATGCTTTCGCCATTACTGTTGCTCTCGACTTTCTGCCCTGAAACAGTACTGACTTCGGTAAAGACGAAGGTTTTATTGTAGGGGGAAGGTTGTTTCAAGATATCTGATTAGGCAACTTACTGATTTGAAGTATTCTATTCAAATGATATTGTATTTTGAGCGGTTTGTGAGATATAACCGCTTTCGTTTGCTTTTAACGCTCTTAAGTCAAGGGTTATAAGGAACTGTTCACACACGGCTGATCTCCTATTGGGACAGAGAAGAGAAGCACTTGAAGAAATTGACCAATACAAGTTTAAATATCTCTGCTCCATCATTCCATCACAACGATGGCACTATCCAGCCAGAGTTAAATAGAGTGATCGCCATGGCCTTCAGTGCTTTTAGAAATCTGTGCAATATTTGGCCTGAGGAAGGAGTTACCATTCCCATGAAAATCCACTTGTACCTTATTGTTGTTACGTCAGTGTTTTTGTGCGGGAAGCACTCTGTTGTTCTAGCGAAGGAGCAAGAACGACTATTAAGCTACATAGAGCTGCATTAGATTTGACGCATGATAAGCGTTAAATGGCGGAACAACGTAAGGAATGGCTCTATTCTTTTGCGGACACAAATGACCTCAGTGGATACGAAGATTGAGAATAGACATTTGGCCAACTGTTTGACCAACGAGTGAGCATAATAAAGTTACTCATACCCGCGAACTTCTCTCGTGAGAGCTAAGGTACTGTAGTCATCGACCTCCTGCAGAAGACCATATACAAATGGAGAAACAAGGTAGAATTAGATCTGTTTTTGTGGAAAAAATTGTATTTTCTATCATGCATTAAATTGCGTTTTATAGCAGTATGTTTTTATATAATTTGCTGGGAATATAGCACATGTCCACAAACATTATAATTATGCAAACGGCTCTAGATAACGATGTGATGTCCCACGCACACACACAAACACATACACTCATACATACATCCACAATGGATTTTAAGACCGTGTTGACTTGATTAGTAGAAGGACAGTTTGATTATGAAGTTTGATTAGAAAATTAGAATACACTTTTTGCTTTCATTCTCATTACGATTTGTACATCGTTCCTTTTACCGTCTAAATAGAAGATGACAACTGATGATGATTTTGATTATGGTGGTGATGGCGATAGCGATACGATAATTATGTCATGTTTAATCAGACGTCGTTTTGATATATTCGTCCAAGCAACAATCACGCAATCAAGTGTTCAAGAGATATGTGTGTTTTTGTTAGTGTGCTATTACATTGTAAACAATTGCTTTAGATGGTAAAGGGGTTTAAAAGCTGTTCTTTGACCTTCAGTGTCGCACAGGAACGATAAAACTTGTTGAAAAGTGAACATCGAAAATGATATGATAAGGGTTGCTCAACAACACCTGTTCTGTCTTGCTTCTTGGTTCATTAGTTCATTTCATTTTTAATGAACATGCTTTTAAGTTTGATCATTTAGGAGTTGATGTCCGGAGATGCCGTGTTTCGGCGAAATTGGTGGGGAATCGGTATAGCGTTGTTAGTGATTTTGGTAATCGCCGCAGTCATCGCTACCATCGCGGCATTGCTTACAACGGGTGAGTTATGATTAGTTCATTTTGTTATTTTGCAAAATCTTTTATTTTTTCTTTTTCTATCTGATCCATGGATTGACAGATTAATGACACTAGCTCATAAACGACACCTGTAAAATAGTATTCGGAAGCTTACTGTTTTACAAAAGGCAGCCACAAATCAAAACAGTCATTTTTGCATTGTGTGATTTTTTGATTGATATCTAATACTAACCAAGCTTGAATAACATGATTGCAAGTTTTTGTGACGTTCATACTACTTGAAGTGTCGTTTCCCCCTTGGGCTTATTTTAGGCAACGTTCACTGCTGTGTTAAAAGATCATATTTATTTCATGGTGTGATTTAACTTTGTATTAGCTGATGATTAGTTCATGTTATCCTGCAACATGCATCTGTGGTTAAATGATGGTTCTCATAAGAGAGAAATTTTGAACCATTTTCAGTTATGTTGTGCCTCTGTACATCTGACCGATTTCACACCGCTGGATTACAGCTCCAGCTCATCCGTAACCGAGCGATACCGTCGCTCTTTGAAAATGCTTCACACACATCGTCAAGACGGGATTCGTGACACTTCAATGCCGAGTATCTCTGTGCTGTGTGTGATCATTACAATGAGGACCTTTCAAGATGGTAATGTCTTAGTTCTACGACGCGACCCAGAAACCAAACCGACTTCTGGCCATACACGTTGGCGGACAATGCAATGCATGAAAAGAGAAAGAAGAAAGAAAAGTTTGTAACCATTGTACACCCACATGATGGAACCATGTCTGGTGTCCTTCTTTTCATGAAATTAATGGGGGAACGTTGATCTCAATTTTCATACTGAGAGCGCCTTATTTTAAATGCAGAATTGCAGTAGCTATGTGTACTCTACAGTCTTTTCCGTAGAATAATTCTCATTTATAATGACCTCTGCAGGAAGAGTAAGGGCCATTAAGCCGACCAGATCGTGAAATTACTTTTGTTGTCGTCAATGTGGACTTGCCTACAACGCGGAACATGATCTTTGGTGGAGCAGCTATGAACAGCGCCTAATACAAATTTAAGACGCAGTTTCACCGTGTAATTCTATTTTATGTAATCGTGTATCACGGTTCTTATTCACTATGCGATTAGTGGTTGTTTGTTGTCGATGATGTAACTGTCCGTTGCCGCTGATTCGCGTACAGTGGTAAAGTGGCATCGGATTTGGTACTGTATTTCGGATTGACGGTAAGTGGGCAAACTGAATACTCCATGTTCAAGCTTTTCTAGCTTTATATGACGATGACAGCAACAACACTTGCTTAGACGTTGGTGTTGTCTGTCTGGTTAAGATTAAGTATGTATATTGGGCATTCGGCGGGTCGTGGACTCTCTTAAAGATATGATGGATATGTAATTTTCAGACAGACATGTATCGACAGAAAATACTTCAGAACCACAACCTTTTTTCTTCAAAAGTGGCATTATTGACACGTGTTTCCAAAACATCTTTGCTGAAATTTAGGGCACTGTGAATGTTTAATGTTCTTAGAGGATCCTTGTTTTAGGGATCAGTGATATCGACTCGAGAATGTCGCCGTTTACGCTAACAGACGTTTCTTTCAAAAACCTTAGTGGTTTCGACAGTCAGATTCACTGGGTTCAAGGTAATCGCACTCAAGCTTTAATTTGCTGAAGTACATTACAAATTTTTTTATCTTTTAAAATTTAGATTGTGTTATGGTTTACAGAGGCACAGATCGTTGCATATGGCTTGTAAATGTCACCTCAGAGCAACCACAAAGATCTTTGTTGTTGTCTTCTGATTCCTATGTATTTTTTTATAACTTCTAGTTTTCTTCTAATTTTCTTATACTCGAGTTGTTTTAGAACAGCAAAGCGGCTGGTTCATTCCTCGTTGCTCCTTCACTTCGATACATTGCAATTTTCTACTCTCTGCGCAAGGTATGTATTGTTATTTTGTTTTCTCATTCTGATATGTGTTGAAGTCGAAAGTGTTTCTTTCCCACTCAGAAGTTTCGTGGAGTCGGTGTTGTATTGTTGTTGTTTTGACGTCGTAATCTGAAACTAACAGAGGTAAAGCCGCACAGTTACCCAGATTATGACGTCTTACCGTTCGAAATGGTACTTCAGATTGATATTAGGCGACGTTCATTGCTGTGATTATGGTCATATTCCTATTCGCCAGCAGGTCCGTTTCAACCACGCAGTTGTTCACATTATGTATTGTGCTTCAACGTGTGTATGGCCAGTGCATGTTTCCTAAGTGAGAACAGTTCTGAACATATTTCTCTTCTCTTTTCATATCTCCATTTTATCAAATTAAGTCAGGAGCCGGTCTCTGAATTCATTTGTTAGTTTTCTATGATCAGTGGTCATCAGCATTTGCTTGTGCATGATCCGTTGAAGATATCGCGCAGACATTGTCGTTTGAAGGTTGTCTAGATGAGCACCGTGATACTTCGTAACCGTAACAGACATTTCGAAACTGTGAGTGCCCCAAATTGACAGCTTTTATGTTTATGATTTTCGTATCAGTTCTTATAGTTTTACCTTTCCATATTTTATACAGCTTGTCGAAATTTGCCGATGTCTGTTGAATACGCCGGTTTACTTTAGGATCAATGTCGCTATCGTTAACCAACAGTTTGGAGGTACTTGAAATGATTCATCTTCTCCGTGGTAGCATCATATCATAATGTCTTTGGGCTGACGGCCGTGACGATCGGTTTTATGATCCTCCTCTTTTTAACTCGTTGATTTGTAGTATCACTCAGAGAGCACTGTTGCACACCCTTTCAGTGTGTATCAGCAGGTCACTTGCAGAGTCGTTCAGCAGCGTACTCAGCGTCCGTTTGGAATGCAACCAGATACCTCTAGCTGCGTTGCTGGTTGGTGGTTACTCCCTCACTGAAATTTAGGACCACGCTCTTCCGCATAACATTGTCTGCCATTCTGTTAAACTGAAGTGTAACTTTGGGGTGTTAAACACTACTGCATTCTTGTCATCACTTGTCATCCTGACTACTGCCCCGAAGCAAACCCCGTAATTTATAGAGGATACACGTTGTTCCAAGTCCAGTGATTGTGGATGAATTTATTGCGACTGTAGTCATATGCCGCCGTTAATCAATTCAACGGTCGTTATGCCAACCCAATGACAGTCATAAACGCAGTGTGTAACGTCTTTGATCTTCGAATGGTTTTTCAACATTTATCTTATGTGCATGTCGATATTAAAGGACGAAGCCAACTCCCAAGTGCGTTAAGACGGGTGATGGCCGACTAAACTGCAAGACCTTAAGTAAAATCAGCACTGACCGGATCTAACCGTAT